TCACCAAAGAGTATTTTTAGGGCAGTTAAAATATTTTAAGGGGAATAATAAAATTGCATAATATGACATTTCATTACTCATTTTTTATAACTATAGAGTTATAATTCGCAAAGCTATTATTATTATTGTATTTTATAATAGAAAATATGTTTGTTTGTTATTTTTAAAATAATATATTAGAATTAAGTATACTGTAACAATTTGCACCACCTTGGATAATGTTACATTTTGACTGTCTCCAGTAAAATATTCATTTTGTATTAAAAATATGTATTTATTGAATTAATTATATTTTTCTGAAAACTTGTAACTTATTGATTAAAATAAATAAATTAAAATTTATGTATAAGTTTATAATAATAAAAATATACAATATAACACTACACAAGTAATATACTGTCGATTTTATTAAATTAAAACAACTGTTTTAACTACAAGTATATAGTTAAAAAGTTCATATTTACATTCTCCTCTTATATTAAATCCAAGAAATAGAAAAAATTGGAATTTTATCTAAATGTGTAATGTTTTAAATACCTTGCAAAATCTTTGAGTACTGAAATAATTTTTGAAAATTATTTCAAGTGCATTTTTAACTTACATATTAATGAATCATACAAAATTAAATAATCACCGTCAAAGCGATATTTTAACTAAATAGTAATATATTCTATGATACATTTAGATAATATTTTTTATATATTATAAGTTAAGTATAAGTAGTTCAGGTATAGATTGAAATTATATTAAATTACTCATAAGATTGTGCCTATATAATACTTCTGTCATTTATTTGATATATATTATGACATCAATTTACATATTATTTACCAACTTTAATTATTCTTGTAGATAACATTGCAACTTTTTCATTGTATAAGAAGCACTCTTATTCAATTGTCTATTTTGTGTATTACTTACATTTAGGACACGATTACTGATAAACTATATATTAACACAGAGATTCAATTTGTTAAATTGATTTTATTTATTACACGTGTGAAATATTTGCATTTAAATAGTTTAAATTTTAATGTTAAATTTAATATTATTCCCCTCACGTTTGTCAATATAAAAGTTCAGACTCAAAACTTATCTTTATTTGGTTTTAATTTGGAAATTTAAAAAAAATAAGGATATTGTTTTAATAGTTTTTTTTTAAATGATTGGTTTATTTTACCAAAAAATAATATACTCTTTTATAAAGTGCTTTGGGTACACACTGGAAAAAGTTTTACTACTTCCATAATTACCATTGTTTGTAAATTAATCTATAAAGGAAACTTTTCTTTGATAATAATTTATTACTCTTAATAACTCTCTTAATTAACTATTTTTCATTGACATGTATAGTTGTTACCAAAAAATTATATTTATTACATTAATCAAATTTTTCCGGAAACTTCCTAATGAAAAGTTATGTCATTTGATTCCATCGAATTCACGTGCTCAACCATTAAATTTTAAAAATCTTTTTATAATTACGACGTGCATTCTTAGAATTCTATTGATGAATTTTTCATTTTTGTTCGTTACAAAGCCGATTAGTTAGAAAGAACCTGGCGATTCACCGTATTCTTTTGCAAGAAGATAATTGTACCGCACACCAACGTTATCTCAAGCAAAAGCTGTTCGAAGAACAGACAGAGGAAGCGTATAACAACCCAAAGTAAGTACCGTGTGCTTCAAGAACGACGGGGGTGAGGATATGACACAACATGTGTAATTACCTTTGGGATGTAGAGAAATTAGTGCGTTTTTTGTCGTAGGACAACGCCCGCGACATTACGGTTGACTCGATGACGTCAAATTCAGTGCGAGTGAGGAAATAATTAGATTTTTATGAGAATTCAGGGAAACCGACAAGGGTCTCGACCACCCTAACTTTTATCGGATTACAACCTCTTTTCTTTCGCTATCGGAAGTACTGCTCACTAATTGCACCGTTACGACATCGTGTTGGAGGCGTTGTGGTTGCTCAAGTGTAAACGTTCGATTAAATGACGGCGTATCATATTATTCTGTTGTATTCATCGCAAGTAAAAAAACCGCACCGACTTAATGAGTGTTATTCGTACAATTTCAGTTTTGACACATGTAAAATATGAACAATTATTTCCGAGTCCTCGAATATTACCAAAGGCGTTAAATATATATACTCTCAAATAAACAATTAAATGAGCCACTAGATGATTACCTTTGGCACTCATTTGTTTTTTATTTGTGCAAAAACAAGATAAATTTTTATTTTTCAAAATCAGATTTTGACGGTTCTTTTTTACGGTAAGTATAACGAATACGCCTTACCAAGACATAATATATAATTATTATGAGAAACAAAATATGTTTTTCATTTTCTCTCAGATGTACATATTAAAATTTTCTAGTTTTTTTAGTTTCCCGAAAGTTTTTGAAAAATGGAGTTACCTTGTTTTTGCACAGAGCTCTTCATTTTTATTATTTTTGCTTAGCCGGTAGTTATATGCAATCAAAAATAATCATACAAACTAACACAACAGTAACATAGAAAATGAAAATATTAAAGTTATTTGATGTTATCAAATTGAAAATATTTACATTACATTAAAATAACAATTATATAATAATTTGAGGACTTGTGTTTAATATTTTTTAACAAAATTTTAAATATAAACTCGCTGTCAGTTCTTATTTAATGTTTATCTATGTAAATCTATGGGACTTGAAGAATTGTTCAGCGGCTATTTAGTGTATTGGTTATTAACGGTTTTTTACAATTACCACACAGTTGCAGACGTTAATAACAATCGTAATCATCATTATATTAATTGCGGCAGCGGCATTTTAAAGTGCAGACAACGGTATACTGTAATGCAAAAATGCGTTTATCTACATTCTTCTCATGGTCGCGTTGGATTTTTATTATTATTACCATTTTTTTTTTTTTTATTGTATTCGCTACAGATAAAATTGTGATGACTTTTTTCTTTTTAATGTCCACTTTGTGTCAACACCATGTGTCAAGACAGGTAGCATGTTTTACACGAGTCTTATAAATTAATTTCTTTTCTTACACCCACAAGTCAAAACAATTTCACATTTCATATATTTTATTACTATAATTTTTCATTCTCGGACATTTCTATAACTTTGTGTTAACTTTTAAACAACACTTGACGATTAGAGGTCTCAACGGGAGGAATTAAATAATTATACAATATTATTAATTGGTAAAATCTTGGAAAATATATATTGATTTACTACTTATTAAAAATACTTCAAGGCTCTCCCTTAATTATTTTTGTTTATTTATAAATAAAATTTTGTTTCAAGTAAAATATGAGCCAAAACTTGTAATTATTGTTTTTTTTTTTAATATCAATATTGTTTTTTTAGCATCTCTAGTCTAACATTTAAATTTGACATTAGTAGAATAGGAATAGAAAAATTATGATATCGTAGTTTATTTTTCGAGAACTCTTACATTTGACAGTTGATGTCTAATTTGAATTTGAATAAATGTTTATTGAAGTTGATTGAGATTTAAAAATGTAGACGCATAACTTAATTGTACAGGAGCGTATTTAGAAATAATTTTTAAAGGAATGAATTAATTTGTTTTACATGTCCAAGCATACTTGAAAAATTTGTTTGATAAGAATCAAAGTGACCACTAAAAAAACAAAGGCGTTCAGAGCCATATTTATAAGTTTTAACCTAAAAAAATATCGAAAGCACTGATCCAGGGGAGGCGATCATGCCCCTTAAATACGCCCTTGCATAACATACTGAATATTCTCAATGTTGGTCGAGTAGTAATGGGAAGCTTTATTTCGATCAAAAAATACTATGTACGTAACTCGAATAATTCACTTGAACAATATGGTGAAATACATTCATTAAGAATAAATACACATAATCAAAATATGAGATGTGTTTTTAATGTTAAAATAATTTTTTTTTTCTTTTAACTCAACTACCCCTTGTATTTACTGTAAACTGACTTTTTGATATAACAAAATAGATTACAACATTCTATGCTCAAAACGAATAAATTTAGCTGTAAATATACTCAACCATTGCCTACCCGCATGATGATGAACGGCGTTTTAAATGAGCCGCCTCTCGGTCCCACACGTCAACCCTCTGTCAGTAATAGCACGTAAGTGATTGGAGAGGGGCGGAGTAATCGCAGTGGCTAACCGCAGCGGCACGTCCTCCGATAAAACCCACCCGGTTGCTACACACCCCTAACGTACAACAAAGGAGCAATGGTACGAGTGCGCAAAGCAACCGAATAAAACGTGGAAACGGTAAAAACAGAACTGACGATTTAAATTTAACTTGATTTTGTCTTGTAATAAAATATATGAATATTACACATGGTACTTGACGAGGTCACAAAAAGTTTCCGCGACAAGGGAAGTTCTTGTTCCGAGTACTGGAGACTAGCAGAAGCCGATAACGGATGTTCCGTCGTGGACACCTCAAGACAACGCTGACCAAGCCGAGTGGTCTATGGACGGTGTGCGCCAAGGCGACTGGCGGCTCCTGCGGCCACGGTGTGGGCGGCGTTTGGGGATACCCCCGGTAGACTGAAGAAAACGCGACCGACCGACNGACGATTTAAATTTAACTTGATTTTGTCTTGTAATAAAATATATGAATATTACACATGGTACTTGACGAGGTCACAAAAAGTTTCCGCGACAAGGGAAGTTCTTGTTCCGAGTACTGGAGACTAGCAGAAGCCGATAACGGATGTTCCGTCGTGGACACCTCAAGACAACGCTGACCAAGCCGAGTGGTCTATGGACGGTGTGCGCCAAGGCGACTGGCGGCTCCTGCGGCCACGGTGTGGGCGGCGTTTGGGGATACCCCCGGTAGACTGAAGAAAACGCGACCGACCGACGCACGATAGATCCATGCTGCCACGGCAGTGTGTCACAGCCCGTTGACGTCACCGCCGGTGTTGAGCGCCGCATGCGAGTGTGCGTGTGTGCTGGCGCGTCCGCTCGTGTGTACGTACAATACGTGAATGCGTGTGAGTGTCCGCGTGTAGACCGCGGAGGGGAGTCCGTTGCGGCGTTGGCGATACATGAATGAACCCCCGTTGCCTTGAGCCGGTCCTACCTTCGGTACGGGAGATCGCCATTGGTCAACCGGCGGCCGGGTGGAAAACCCACGGTAGGAATCCGGGTGGGGGTTTCGGCGGGCCGCCCTTACGATGACGGCGGCACTGTTGCCGCTGCCGTTGCTCCTGCTCCTGCCGCCGCCGCCCGGTCCACACCGTCGTGACTTAAATGTCCACCGGAGTCAGGTGGCTATCTCAGTTGATCGTTTTTGGTCGACGGTATACCGCAGCGGTCATCATCACCGCTCACGATCATACACACGCGTTCATAGTTGCAAGTGCGTATTGCGACAGCAGACTGTATTTTTGAAAATTATCGTACTTCACACGACCGTCATCGACAATCTCTCGCCGCTAACCGTCGAGTGTACACTACATTTTTGTCGCATTATTCGTCGCACCGGTTCGCTGGCGGAACTTCGATAACAGTAAAATTTGTATTATTACCAAGTGAAGTGTCGTCGGCACACACGATCGCTGTGCACAATTACTTAAAAAGTTTACACTCGTTTTCTATTTGATTAATGTTATTATTTTTTCGCGTAATCGATAAATAAACATTTTTAATTATTATCAACGTACAATGGACACTTTGGAAGCGGTATGCGTGGATTGCTACCGCGAACACTGTCGGCGTCAAACCGAGCCCCGGACCGTTCGCGGTCGTCGGAGATTCGCCCCCAACTACAACGGAAGATACAATCGGCTTTTCATCGGTGAGTTTTCCCCATGCTTGACTTACACTCGCCCCTTCCCCTTTCCAGTATAGATCACGTCTCGGTTGGGTCGGCCCGTGTCTCATCGCCAACGTCGTATTTGCAAAACGCCGTTGAAAGCAAAAAACTGACGTTTTCAATGTTTCAGTCATTATAATAGTAACTCAAATAGGAACAATCCGTCCTAATCGCGACACGTTAGCGTTTTCTTTATCACGACATTATAATCGTCGCACTAGACTGTACACTCATATGTATATATTAATTGTGTATAATAATAACGATATTATTATAATGTATTGCTCGGTGCCCGATATTGTTATGTCTGCGCAGTCTTTTGAGTAAGGGAGATGTGTGAAAATCATTATAGCGCTCTGGACGACAGCCAGTCACTGAATCCACAAATCACATTGTGATGACAATTAAAATAAAAATTTAATCGAATACACGAGAAAATGTACGACACGTTTTTATTTTCACTTTTAACCGTACCATTGAATTTGTATTGACCTCAACCGATCGGCGGCGGTGACGAGTATGATAATCGCGTGTAAAAAACGATTCCATGCGAGTAGAAGATAAAAAAATCTTATTGGCATCATCGATGAGACGGCGGCGGCGGTATATGATCGCGACCCCAATGAGTCATCAGTCGCTTCCGGATGACGATTTCCGAAATCTGTAATAATACACACGTGCGCGTGTTTACCTGTACAGCCGAATTTCTCTCTCTCGATATTATGCCGCTCTTCTTTTTATCTGTTTTCTTCAATTAAACTGCCGTGATTTTACAAATTACTCACGCCTACTGTTGGCGTCCGATCGATATCGTATTCGTTATAATCATTCGGTTCGACTGCAGCAGAATCGACAGAGCACAATAATATCAACGACATTATTACATTCTGTACAAACACACACATATTTGTTTGTGTGTGTGTGTATAACACAATTCACACGTCATCGCCGTCGACGGCAACAAATAGTAGCGACGGAATAAGAACAATATAATAATANTTATTTGTTTGTGCGTGTGTGTGTATAACACAATTCACACGTCATCGCCGTCGACGGCAACAAATAGTAGCGACGGAATAAGAACAATATAATAATAATAGTCGATACCGTTTTTGTACATACGAATATTTTCGTGATACGCCGGACTAAGTGTTTTCGGCAGTTTTTATGAATCTCCAACACTATTGCAAGTACACGCATTGCAACTACAGTGTACATTAACGTGATCGCTTTTCCACAATACCGACTTGTCGGCGGTAAAAAAAACCCATGAATAAAACACGTAGACGCGAACCTGACGGGGGAAAACGCGTTTGGTCATTAACTAGCGTTACGATCGGTTTCTTTTCGATGATACATATGTCCCTATGGCAAATTTGACAAACGCCAGTTATTAAAACACTCGTTAGAAATAAGATACAATCTTTCTTGAAAAAAAAAAACCCGTTGTTATCGTGTTTTTTATTTTCTATGTGTCTAGGTGCTCACCGAGACTCGAATTCTTTTGATTTTTTCCCGTCAGAATATTTCTAATTTTTGTTATTACTTGCAAACGTCGTGATAATTATACAACGCGCAACGATCAGGTTATTCCCATCGTTTTGCTAGTAACAATAAAAAAAAAAATATATATATATATAGGGAAAATATCGTGAAAATCAGCAGTTTGCCGCGGATTTCTCGATAATCGTTCGGCGAGCTTTTGCAAAAAAAAAAAGTAATAATACATAAAAAAAATGTAAAGAATACAGTACCGCCTATGACGAGGACAACTGTTGAACGCGTTTTCGTCCTCGCTCGCGTGTGTGGTCCCCGTGACAACAATACCACACACAAACGGACAACAATAATTAGCCAGTAATGTGCCCCCGTGAGAGAGCCGATTAGCAGCCACCGCTCGGAAACGACAATATGCCATTCTCATCCCCTGCTACCGTCCTCCCCGCGTTTTCTGCATAGTGCAAACGCGTTCCCCTCCAGCGATTTGTACCGTGTCTACTAATTGGGGGTGCCGGCCGACATACCGATCTCGTCTAATAGAAACGGATTAAAAAAATAAGTACACATCTCGAGACACGAGTAAATAACGCAGCCGCATACCTTAGACCGGCTATCCACGTTACTAACACACGACGCTGTTCATCGACTGCATGTTGCGTGTTCTCTTTGATTCTACAAAGTTGTATATGACGAACCCGGTGACGGGCGGAGGGTCTGACCACAAATCGCACAATGACATTTTCTCCGCGCTAATTACGTTCGTGCGGATCGCCAGTGTCGGTATTGTACGCGGGGCACATTGGTCAAGAGACACACGACATTGGGCTAACCCGTGAAATATTGCGCGTTTATTGTTACACGTTTTTTTTTATTTTTTTCCAGCTGGTTCGTTCGTCATCGGTCTGATCTTAGTACCCTGCACCATGCCAGCTCCCATACCGTCGTCACTGCATTCCCATCAGTCTTCCGACGAGTCGTCCAGTCAACCGTCGGGCACGCCGTTTTGGTACAACCCTTGCGGCATGCAAATGATGGACGACATGAACTGCGGTCCCGGCAGCAATTGCAACGGCGGCGGTTCCGGTAGCGGAGGCGGAAGCGGCATGGGAGGCCATGACATGATAGACTCGGACCCCAGACGGTTGGTGGACGTCATCGATGGCGTGGCCGTGTCCGCCAGCAACGCACTGATGCACGCCGAACAGTTTGCCGGATCATTCGTGAGTATTTTTTTATTTTTTTCGTCGTTATTTTCCCCGGAAACGCGTTCCGAGGTATCACATCAAAAGGCCCGTTGTTAGGTCGGTAGAATTGTTTTTGCACGTTTGGTCAAGTCATTTTTAACGGTACTTTTTTATTGTTTTGTTTGCACGACCGATATCGGTTAATTTACTAACGAGCAAAGATCGATTTATCCATTCCGGCATGTTTCTTCAACGCTGTATATTATTGCGCGCCGTGTCGATCTGATCGAGTGTCTGAATAAGCAAACGCTAATCATGATAATATTGTAACAATACTATAAATACCGTTTATAATTCCATCATTATTACTATGAATCGCTAACCGTGCGAGGCGCCGCACGTGCTCAGCATTCGGAGGGGGACAATGGCGGTACGAATGAATGAAACGGCGGCTGCAACAGTCGAATGATGTACCTTCGATTCGAAACGGTTTTTGGTACCGCAACCGTCTGAAAAGGTCGTCCAAGGGGTGGAACCGTCACAAGAGCGTAAAAAATTGCATTAGACACGCCATATGTGTTAATAACATTTGTCGAATTGGGCGAATCAAAATATTTTTATAACAAACCTCACGACCACTCATTCAAGTCACCGTAGGTCAAACTCATTAAAATGTATGTATCAAAAGTCAAAATAATGATACAAAGAAAACATCCAGTTTTTTATTCGAAGGAATTACATTCGGACATTGAAAATCCATTGCATTCACTTTATTTCGAAAAGATTTTTTTACGCCTAAATTGAGTCTAATTTAGCGAACTTTACAACACAAGTTCAATGTAAAATTGTTATATAATCAATAATTTGTACGATATTGTGTCATATCCTTCAGGTGTAAATAAACGTATGCACAATTGACGGACAATGCATTGTTTGTATTTTTAAATCTATAGATCACTTTGGTTTACTTCGGGTACACATTTTTTCCTCTCGTTCATTAATGTCCAACACTTGTGTACCCCTACGCACTGACACAATAACCATAACATTACCTTCAGTACATCAATGTATTTACAAATAATTACATGTGTCATTTTTCCTCGTTGAGTTACACATTATTTTACAAATCGATGTAATCAAAGAATTGTCATATTATTCCAGTAAAACCGATGTGCCTAACCTAATTATCGAATGGCTTTATTTACTAAAGTAAAATTTGTAAACACATCGTATATAGTCTGAAATTACTTTTGCAAACGTATCGATCATCCCGAATTTGGCGTCTTGTAAACACTGCGGTCGTGAGCAATAGCCACTGCAACCCATTCGGGTAGTATTTGACCTGATTTGGATTCTCAGAACCCACGACTGCTATGCATAGGCGATATATGTATACTCGATTACAGCGGCTAATCATAAAAAAATTATGTGTAACAAAATCTAATTAAATTTTGATCGTTGTAATAAGATTAAACGCACCACATTCGTTCGCTCTTTAAAAATAACGCTTTTGTAAGTTAAATATTGTTGTTTATTCTAAATATTATATAATAAATATTATTATTATTGTTGTTATTAAACGGATCGTTCTAAAACGGTTTATCATTCGACAAAAACTCGGCCCCATTACTATATATAGTACAATGTATCGTTTAAAAGAGGGCTATTTACAGCATCCGTTATTACGATGTCATTCATAACAGAGTTTGGAAAATTTATTTTTAAAACTAATCTGTTCTAATTTCCATTTCAAAAAGAAATACGTTCACGTTTACATTTATCGAAAATGTGGAATGCATTTCCAAATTTTTTTTTATTAAAAGCGGTCTTCTAAAATAGGGTTTTTATAGAAATCACATAATTTACGGAAAGGTGCAATTTCAGATAAACGCAGTTTTAACTTTATAAACAAGTTTAAAAATAATAAATATTTTATTATGAAATTATCGAATAAAAAAAAAATAATAATTGTTTTTAATAATAAATATACTGACACAGAACTCTTAGATGTTTTAGTTTTTAAAATATGGGTGAGATATAAGTACGAAATCTATTGCTGTAGTAACGATTGTTGACTATTGACTTATTCTAAGGTTGTAAATTGCTCATCACTATATTTTATCACATTTCTTTCAGAAAATGATCAAACATTTTTCTGTCGTAAATTCATTTGGAATGAGTCGTTTACATTCACATTAATATATTTGCATTCACCATTTCTTAAAAATAAAGCGAGTACATACATAAATGCATTTTTTCACACCGATTCATAATCAGTTTATTTAATGTTTTTTTTTTGCACTGCATCTCCATGTAAAAAAATAAACCACAACAATGAATTTATATATTTGTAGGTAAATTGCTGGACAGTACAATATCTCAAACAGTAGACAATATTTTCCCCATTTTCTCTTTATGTACGTCTTAAATGTAATAAAAATTTCTCGAGGTCTGCAAGACGATATTAAACAAAAAAAAAGTCACAGATAACACAACAATGCGAATGAATTTACTCGGAGATAAGCCGTCGCAATTCTCATACTTGTGACACCTGCGGAAACCGTTTTGTGAATGCCCAAGACCGGTCACTGCTGTCACAGCAACGTCTACACCCACACAGTCTATTATTCTCTTATTAAAATATTGTTTTTCAATTCTTATGTAGAACAATTGCAATGTATGAATTACGAATCGTATAAAAAAATAAACCGAAACTGCGTCAGTCGAAGCATAAAAAACGATTTTCGTTGTTTGCTTCACACGCAGCGTTATAGTTTTAAATATTAATTTGGCGATCGGCATGTGACTAGCATGGACTGGAACCATATTTTTTATAGGTTCCGGTTCGGTTCGAGTTTTCGAAAATAAAAGTTCCGGTTTCCAAAAGTAAAGGTTGCATCCAAATCATTACAATATCATTAAAATCTTTAAAATTAAAGTTCAATTAAAAGTGGTCTCAGAAATTAGCGGATGTGATATTCAAACGTCTGTCCAGTTCGTTGTCAAATATTGGTTGTTGTAAGGCGTTTATAAAGGGGAGGGGGTGTGATGGTGAATCGCCTTTCATTTTGACACAAGAATTTCTTTAAAATATCACAGTTAAAGAATAATAATATTGTATAAAATATTTTAATTTTAACCTAATTTGATACATTAATAAACCAACATACATATATATTATACTTATTAACTTTTTTTAATCATCTCCCTCCCTTATACCATCACTTTATGGTTAAGGAGACATTCATTTGCATCCATTTTTGACTCATGTGTAAATATGAAGTTACAATGTATACATTTATCAATTACAAAGTCTCGAACAAAATTATTTAAAAAACAAATTGTAAAATCTAAAATTGTAAACAAGTAAATTCTAATAAACATTTAATTTGACTAACCATGATAAAAAATAATCAGGTATAAACATAAATTTCAGAATTAATTATCCATAACATTTATTTAATAGAATAATAAATAATAAATTTTATACATATTAATTTTGATTTTACTTTAAAAACTCTTATCTTTTGTTATTGTTAAATACATAAATTTACTTGATACACTTTAGAACAGTCTTTCCACGTTGATGTCTTATTTTTGTCACAGTAGATAAAATAATTATTAATAACAGATTTACTTCAACCCATAATATCTCGGGTAGATATTATATATATATTATTAATTTTAATAAAAAATTTCATTAACATAACAAAATGGCACGCGTTTATTAATGAGTATACATGTATTATTTGAAATAGAATCCATCAGCGCGCCAAGACGTAAAATAATAACAAAATTATCATAATCACCAAATTTTAAAGAAGTTTAATTTGTTTTTAAATCCGTAAAGCTGTACAGAATGTTAAACGTTTTATCAGTTGTCGCGTTAGAGAAAGACGCAAGCCAAAGTCCGTTGAAAAAACCACAAGCATACAACATTACTATAATTTCTCTTTGTGACTGCGATAGTCATAAATAATAATAATTTAGAGCCGTATAGTAATCAAACAGGCCATAATTATATTTTAAGTATAATTATATCATTTTAAAAATAGAAATATAATATTTTGTGGACAACAAACAATTGTTGGAACTCTTGATTAGTTCATAAATTTTGCTTTGACAAACTATAATAAAGCTTTTACTAATTATTACCAACATAATTTGTTATCAAAAATATAAAACGTTGTTAGAATTATACAAATAAAATACTGTTCGGCGGCTAAGAACCGTTTAAACGAACCTTTACAGGTTCCGGTTGGATTCTTGTTCGTGGCTATCTGAAAATTTCCTATTCCTGTTCGGGTTCTAAAAAATTTAAAGGTTCCGTCTTTTTAGTTTCATTCCAGTCCCTGGTGACTAGAATGTTTTTACAGACTGCATGTCGCCGCCGCCCAGAGTCGCTTTTTCAGCGAAATCAATGTACTCGAGTCATTCATTGTAGTGCGGGTGGCAAGAGCGCAGTGAAAATAAAACCGTATGTGAGTAAGAGAGAAAAGAAAGATGTTATGACAGAAACGTCACGGCACTTTTTTTTTATTTTCCTCGAAAACCGTCTTAAGAATTCGCCTACGGATTGCTTATGACGAGCAGTCGATTCTTATCGGTAACCGGATACCACACAGCACAACAATGTTCGCACCAACGTGCACCGGCCTTTGATAGTTATCTCACCCGCGGTAGCAAAATCGTGTACCATCTCAGATAATCGAAGGTGCACGAATGCAAACGGCTCATAATTGTTCAACTAGGCAATCTAAAAAATACTCAGAGTGTCTGAGTAATCGTTAGGGTTGTCTAGTTTGACATCGATCGAAGTCCGAATGAAAACTTTGGTTTTGGAACCGTTTAGATGCACAGTAGTTTGCCCCGTACAAGGATAGACAGACACGTTTTCGTGCGGTAATCGTTTTTAAAAATAAACAAAAATTGTGTACGTTTAATGTTTACAATGAAGATCTTTGTGCAACAACGCAGTATGTATAACGCAAATTCGGTAATAACAATAATCGCTCGACTAAATAATCTCAATTAGAACGTATTTATACTTAGATTTTACAACATGATATTTGGGTCATTTATTCGTCATTATGACTATAAAAATCTTGTCCGACGCGCAAAAAAAGTGCATCCGTAAACGGCTATCATCTATGGGAAAAAACTGTTCTTTGATCTACTTGAAACTAGCGATTTAGCGTATTGTCGTTGTCACCGTCCGTGTTTTTCCATTGAGAAACAATGCGATTGTTGCAGCCGACAAGTATTGTTTTAATTGTAGGGCATTCGATAAACGTCGACAGAAGGCCACTGCCGCTAAAAGTTTTCCACAGAAAAAAAAAAAAGTGCCGAATAAAAAACCGATTCTGTTTAGATCCGCAGTTTTAGTGGATCGCTATCGGCACCGGCGCCGTCGACGACCGTGAGAGAAAGCTCTAAATACGCTGATGGTTTCATATACAACAGTATTATATCTAACGACGGGCGCAGCCAACGACGGCGACCCAATCGGACGGAGAGAAGCCGCGTTCTGTGTACACTATTATTGTTTACAAAATGAAAAATCAAAACAAAATTATTGAAAAAAATCGTACACATGTCACTGACCGAATGTGTCGACTCATCACTCGGTTCGAACAGCGCCGGTTCCCAACGTTCGGTTATTTTTTTCGGATTCCGTAGGCGCTATTATGCGACTACACTATGTGCTGCCACACACAAAATATATTCGGTTTTTGTTATACACACACACTCGATTGATTTGTTATGTAAACGCGCTGTGCGTGTGATTTTCGGCTTGTTAACAACATCGAGTTGTCTACATAAAAAATACATTTATCAAAAGTTCCTCGTCCGTAGACACTGAAGACGTTCCGCCTCACAGGTAGCCACCACGATAAATATGGTTTTCTCGACCGTGTTGCCACACCGCAGCGTTTTCTTGCCACCCGCCGAGTGGCTCAAGGCGCCCTTTAATCTCATCTGATCGACGTTTTAGCATCTCACCTGTTCCAACGTGTCAACACTATTGATTGCCAAAACCGAAAATACACTCGTCCGGTGTTTCCATCGAACGCCGAGTTGTTACCGCCGCCTTATCTCTTCCGCTCTCGGACGTGCCCCGCTAGCGTACGGGATTGACCGTAACCGCCGCTCGTAAACGATCGGTCGTAATAACGGTGTCCCGCGATGTCCCCTAGACCGTCGTTCATTCTCGACGGAGAGGAATCGTATATGATCGGATAACCTACACGATTGTTATGATTTTATTGGATACGATTAATTTTATGAAAATCTCATGTGTCCCTAGGTCAGCGAAACGTTCCACGTAGACGTTAAACAACACCACGACGTATGGAAAGATACGTCTCTGGTGTGGTTGCAACAAGCCGAATACATGCCCAAGGAACTAGACGTGCCCCTGGACGAGCCGTACCTGGACAGCCTTACGCTCAAGGACGTACTGCACGCCGTCAACGTGGGCATGCAAAACTTGGCGGTCGGTCTAGAACAAGTGTCCTGGGACCAGGACAGGGACCGCCTGCCGTACTCCAAGGATTTCAAAGAGGCCACATTCAAGCTAAGAGCTGTAAGTGTTTTCCGCATAGTGTTTCCGTATGGTGTGCACGAACAGTTGTAATGATTTCCTTGTTCGTTTTCAGGTCTTGTGCGAGATATCGGTGGCCATCATTGAAATAAACGAGACGGCGACGCCGCCCGTATCGCGAGACATCATGCCGGCCGAATCGAGATCTTCGGCGGACAATCGGTCGCTGAGGGACTGGCTAATTCTTCGGGAGTACATCACCAGCCTTCAGTATATCATTCAAGTGTTCGAATTCCTGAAAACGAAAAAATAATGTCGCCCAGTTCCTACCGGACGCCAACGTAACAACGGCAGCTACCAAATCGTCACCGGCCACCGCAATCGAAATCAAACTACCTATTCGCGGTTAGGTAATCGAGTCATCAAAAACCACCGAGGTCATGTCAGGGCCCAACTATTTATTAATAATGTTTTAGTGTTTTCCACGACGATTATTATCGATACTTAATTATTATTATTGTAATTAATTAAAATCGTCATGTCTTACTGTGCATACGAAACCTATTAAGTTTTCATCCTCCTTTTTCGTCGTCGTCGTTTTTATTTATTTATTTATTTATTATTAATTTCATTTTTATCGTTGAGTATTTATTTATTTACACTTATATCGAACGTGTTTTAGTTTAAATGATTTTTAAACGATCTATTAATTATTATTATTATTATTATTATTTTGGTACACCGAACGGTTACCCGCACTGTTATATACGTTGTATATGTTTATTGAATTGTTTTTTTTTTTTTTTTAAACTCGTAACGTAAAATCAAAATATTATAATTAATATTATTCTAGTTTTGTTAAACTCTATATACAGTCATAGTTGTTATTATTATTAAGTATTATTTTTAATTGTAGTCTAATCAAATTCCTCTGTCTTTTTTTTCACTTCTTTTTTATCTTTTTCTTTGCTCGGTCTTCGTCGAAGCCATTTATTTATATGTAAATACTATTTGTTGTATCGCGATCGAGATACCCTTCTAAACATGTTCGCCTTTTGTAAGTATTGTCTGTGATATTTTAATTGCCTATAAACATTTATAATAATGACGGTTATTATTATATATTATAATAATTATAATTACTATTATTAAACTATTATACTATTACACACTCTACCAGTGCGTTTTGTCTGTCAGATCCGTTCTGTAACGATGGATTTTAATTGTAGGGAATATATATTAAATATACGTATCCGAATAATTATTTTCACGCGCGACACGTTCGTTTGTTATCGACACAGATTCCCCACCGGGTCTCTGTTGTGAGGGTGTCGGAAGAGAGGCCCTTCGGAGCCTAAAACAAAGAATACATAGGAAAATAAAATAACAAAATATTAGCAGCGATTGTGTTCGCCTGTCATTGGAAATCGTACATGGCCGGGCAGTGCGGACGAGCCGGTATTATTATAAATACCACCGTGATCGTTAAAAAAACAATAAATTAAATTAAAACAACGTTCATACGTATTATTGGAAATAGGTAAAAAATATTGGAAAAAACCATATAAAGCCTATGCGAACGGGTCGGTTGTCNTCCGTTCTGTAACGATGGATTTTAATTGTAGGGAATATATATTAAATATGCGTATCCGAATAATTATTTTCACGCGCGACACGTTCGTTTGTTATCGAGACAGATTCCCCACCGGGTCTCTGTTGTGAGGGTGTCGGAAGAGAGGCCCTTCGGAGCCTAAAACAAAGAATACATGGGAAAATAAAATAACAAAATATTAGCAGCGATTGTGTTCGCCTGTCATTGGAAATCGTACATGGCCGGGCAGTGCGGACGAGCCGGTATTATTATAAATACCACCGTGATCGTTAAAAAAACAATAAATTAAATTAAAACAACGTTCATACGTATTATTGGAAATAGGTAAAAAATATTGGAAAAAACCATATAAAGCCTATGCGAACGGGTCGGTTGTCGCGCGGTCCGACTTAAACGGAACTAATTAGTTGTTGTGCCGGCCAGTCGTCGTTCATACAGTTCAGTATTCATTGTCTTATTATGCGGCCGACAGCTTGTAAATTGCCACTTGACCTGTAATTTACACACGTGTTACCGTCAGGCGTGCGCATAACAATAATAAAAATAACCATCGCAGGCCGCAAGAACGTACAAAAATAAAACAAAACAATACTTAACAGGCTGACGACACATCGTCAATATCAGAAGCCACACACGAGGGCGGGTGTTTTTTAGACGGTGGCGACACTCGCAGCCAGGGTAAGTGTACTGGGCGAGGAGAAATTTATCGATAAAACATGACAGTGTTTTGCCGTTATTGGTCCTGGTGGTCATTGGAACGGACGCACGTTTCTTTGTTTGTTAAACTGTTTTGCCCAACGAAAAAAAAAAACGAGCAGTAAAAAACTATCAAAAAGAAGCCGGCGGATACGTGACCGTGAAAACGGGAAAAGAAACGCCGCGAACTCGTCCCGTTTCCTCAACGGATGACCGGAACGGCACAACACGTGTGTACTTAAGAGTGTGTGTGTGTGGTATATTATTATTGTGGTTTACCACAGCCATCTATTGTTAATATCCGTGTAATAAAGTAAAAAAACAGCAAAGTCCAGTCGTGACTCGAGTTGAACATATAGGCCATTACGACGGCTGTGTAAAGGCACGTCAAGGGCCAAACGACATTGAAAAGATTGAACAAATCGCGTGTCGCTTGATAACGTTTAACAGAATTAATAATTTGAAAATATGTGTACAATTACTAACTGCCTTGAAACATCGATGGCATGCAACACAACTAGCGTTATTGTTTTAACTGCGCTCTTTATTCGTTGGCCGTCTAAACCCGTTCGCTTTTTGGCATACCTCAACGCCGCGTTATTTACATGGATCACTCAAAAAACTTCAATTATTATTTATTTATTNGTCACTTAAAAAACTTCAATTATTATTTATTTATTTTTTTACAGTAACCGTACAAACTCTCAGAACAAAATTCTGGAAAGATGAAATCGTTAAAAAAAAAAACCATTTTTTACAGTACCTTGATTTAATAGGTCGAAACGTGTCAGCTCGATCGCTAAAAAAAGGTTGTTGTGGCGTTTTTAACAATTATTAAAATATAACGGTCTAGGGTTTTCCGGAAGTAACCGGAAATCTCGCTTTGAGACTACCGGTCGCGTCTGAACTAAAAGGACTCAGAATCAGCAGGGGCTGAAAATATCTATAATCGTTTGTTTATCATTTATTCTAATGGGAACTGCACTTGACCTGTTATGGTTGTAATAGACCATCGCTTGCCTACCTGCAGCGGTACAATGAATGCTGTTCAATTGTACCGTCCATAACCTATTCAATAATGGTTAAAAAACCGCATTGGTCTTACATTGATGTGGTTGACAATAAAGTGCGTCTTTATTTACAGGTTTCTTGTTACTTTCCTCGTCATGATGAAAATTACAAAAAAACTAGATAGTTTAAGGTTCCCGTTTTAGCGGTACACTCTGAGTGAGTCATCGAAATAAATACCTGACGGGATGAAATGATTAATGGAAAAAATATCTTGTATTTGAAATACCTTAAATTACATTAGTTTTCCAAAAACTAATTTTGGATTATACTCAGAAAAAATGTCGCAAGGATAACCTACTTTGATTATGGTAATTTATTCGTGGGGTACAATAAACGTTCAATTTTATTTTACAACATCTGGACACATTCTGCGCTGTTTCCTGACTGACAAATCGCATATAAGTGCATCTCGAAAAAAAGTACATATTTGGAAATAAATTACTTCAAAATTTCGACGTCCCGTTGGAGTTACTATATTTTGTTTTACGTGGGTCACTATGCTTTTGCAATTAACAGTATATTAAGTTCAATTCAAATTTTATAATATTATTCAGAAATTATTAACTGTATCGAGTTGTACCAAAATGTAATATATATATGATTTATCCGCACTATGAGTGCAATATGTTCGATATTATATCCATAATTTATTTTTGTTAGAATGTTTGTGCACAATACTCTTTCTACAATTGATATATTGAACACTCTGTATAATTTATGCTAAAAATATATAATTAAACAAAATATAATCAACGTATATTACTTATTCGTTTTAATTTAGGTTGATTTTAGTGTATATAATCCTTAACTCGTTATTTATACTTGATGCAATTGATTGAACTTTGAATTTGTTGAGGGTTGTATTTAAGTTAAGTATAAAAAGAGTCTGGCCAATCTAAAATTCCGTAGACTACGTGACTGTGAACATGTTCATGTTTTAACATTTTTTTTCTTCTATTTTTGTATGAAGGCTTAGGTATTTTGTTGGATGTCCTATAAAAAATTGTTATGTTCCTTTTGAAATACTTCAGTGAACTCTGAACGGTAATTTTGCGATACCGTTAACAACAAACAATCACATCAAATGCTGATAAATGTTATGAATCAAAATTTTTACGTATTTTGCGGTTCATTGTGGAGAGATGTTCATTTTAATACAATAAAAAAAATAATTTAGTTTCAAAGACATTTTTAAAGGTTCAAATTCTCCCGTCTTGAATAAATACAGTTATTTTTATTCATTACTTAGGCATAATGGAAATAGACAAATCTCGACATGTTATAACAATCCTGACGGTTGTTTCGTTTTCCTCCATTTTTATTTAACCACAATACATTTTTAGACACAACTACTACAATTTGAACATTTTTCAGAATTATTTAATTTAAAATATTATTTTATCGAATAATGATCGAAAATATTTTATCATAGGAGTAATTTAATCTTTTTCTATACCTGTTGAAGTCATTACATTGGGAACGTTTAAAGTATACTTAATTTGTCTCGTAGGATTTTCGGGTTTTTAAAAAGCAAATTATTTTCTAACTTGGTCGAAACTTAATTTTTTGACGAGGAGAGGAGGTGATACATTTTTTAACTCATTAATCATCATAAAAAAAGCAGTGAGCCAAAAAGGTCTTTTACTTGAATGTAGGATGTAAAATCCATGTAATAAACTTTTTTTAAGAATATTCTCAAGAATTTGTTCAAACGTCAAAAATATTCTTTTTAATTTTTTAAGTCAAATTTTACATTACTGGGCCTGAGATGGCCACCATCAATAATAGTAACGCACATAATTAAAAAAAAAACCATATTTTAAACTTCTCGAACTTTTTATTTGAATGCATTTGATACCTAAGTATTAAATTCAGTTTCTTGTTAAAAAATGTTGATTATTCTGGTTTGTATAGAAAGCTACAGTTTTTTTACTTTTAATAAATAAAAATAATACTGTTCTTTGTTTAAACGAATATATGTTGGCAATTTTTTGTAAAACTCATTAAAAATAAGTTATTAAATATATAATAAATCGTTTTCGTAGATTATATTTTATTAGGAAAATAAATTTAATAAAATAATTGCGAATAAGGGTTTTATTTTATTTTTAATAAAGGAGAAAAAAGAAAAATAATTTTCAAATAATATGTTTTCAACTTGAAATCGAATGCATTTGATGCTTATTTGTAAATAGCTAGCTTAGTGCCAAGATAATTTATTTGTTTTTTTTATAACAAAGATCATTGATATTTGTTGAGAAACTAAAAATTTATATTGTTGTATAAGTACCGTATCTTTTAAGAGTCGTAAATTTCAAATGACGTGGTTTACATAGTGTTGTTATAAATTTAAACTCTCTCACTATGCAATATCTCTATAGTTGTACGTGTAACGATTTATATTGACTTGATCGAAGTGATAATTATTTGTTCTTCTCACCTATAAACTTGTATTGGAATGCAGTTGTACACACTGAGCTTTCCAATATTCGACAAATGGAAAGCGTGAGTACCTATTCTATTAAAAAATATTCAATTGCGCTAAAATGATGCAATCAGTATATCTCGAAGACCAGTGAATCTGAAAACATTTAACATATATTTCCAACTATATCTAATATCATTAAAACAACAATAAAAAATGAAATAATTATTGTATTATACTATTAAATATATTTAATATTCATTGATGTTGTTTTGCTGGATAATTCGGTGGTCATTGGATAATTTATTCTAAAAAATGGATTTGTACCAAAAGCGATTAATACTTTGAATAATTAATGACAA